GCCGGGTCCAGGTGACATCACGGAGGCTCGGCCGGGGCGCCGATGGGGGCCCAGAGGCGGGTGTGTCAGCTGGACGTCCCACAAGTCTGGTTAGGGGACGACTGTGCCATTTGGGCGTCCTCTGTGTTGAGCTAGGAGACGCCCGTAGTATCTGGAAGTCCTGTGTGTTTGGTGACTGGCTAGGACGCGACTGTGTCAGCTGGCCGTCCCGTGTTGATGTGTCTGTGTCAGAGTCGGGTGTGTCATCTGATCGTCCATGTGTGTATCTGGCTAGGAAACGACTGTGTCATCTGACCTCCCCGTGTATCGGTCACGGCTCTGGCCGCGGCTGGCACGGCGGAGCGGCTCAGCCAGCGTGCTGACGGGGCTCGGCGCCGGGCAGGAAGAGGCAGCACTGCCGGATTCCTCACAGTTCATGACGGCTCGTGGGTGCAGTGTAAGTCCGAGACAAGGACGCGACGAAACATTGGATACGGATTATTGGCCGGACATTGAAGAGAAGTCAATGCTCGAGGTCAAGGTCGTCCGAAAGAGAATCTCGCGAATGAATAACATGAGCAAGGCATTTCTAATAGTGATCACTTGCATTTTCGATATATAAACGGAGTCGTTCACATGAGAAGCGAGCCGAAAAACAGCGAAAAGTGAAATCGCGTGACGCAAAAACCTGGCAATCATGCAGATAACTGTATTTGCAATGCCGCTCCCCCCTTCCCCCTCTGGACTTTTGCAAACCTAATGCACCCAGCCGCCCACCGGCCTGTCCACTGTGTCCGTTCTATATACTCTGCTGTGTCCAGCCCGTATACTGTTCGTACACACCGACCCGGAAGCCCGGCTGCTGGGGAGGGGTACCGGGACGATCGGGTTAGATGTCAGGTCAGGTGTCGCACTACCCGACACTCTGACACAGCTGGCCGACACACTTGTTTGTCAGCTGACACGGCCGTCGATCGGGCTGTCGGGGGCGGGACAGACTCCGCCGGGGCGGAGGCGTCTCAAAGAGCCCGGCGACTGCGAACTGAATACCGTCGCGGCTGTGCAGTGGAGCCGATGGGCATTGGGCAATGGGCAGTCTCGAGTCACCTCAGGTAAGAGGGGTATGACGGTGCTAGCCCATGGGACTCACGACAATGAAAAGACAATCAGTCAGAAATAAACTGAGAAACTACACAAATGATAAAATTACTGAGACCAAAAGTATGTATTAAAGACACACAACTTATTGCCCATGAAATAGCACGCTTTGGCCGGAATCGTGTTTGTATTACATTGAAGCATGAAGCAATGCATTGTTTCATGCATCTAAGATTAAAGTCCATCTTCCAAATCAATTGAAAATCTTGGACCTACCCTTGTCACCCAGACGAGGATACCGACGTCAGAACGCCAGCAGCTGACGTCAACTGACTAAAAAATAAACGAATTGCGTACAAAATTAAGTAGTAGGTATTATACAAATTAAATATGTGAATAAAAAATTGAATTTAAAATGGATGCAAAATTTAAAGTACACCCATCTTTTTGTCAGTATCAACAACTATAAACCTAAGAAAAACGACAATAAAATGTGATGCAAGGCACCAAATAAGTCCGCTTATATGAAATAATATGATTCGATCAAAAAAAGACAAAAACCAGGGAAGCTCGAGCTGACATTCGACAGGTCAAACAGACATCGACACCGCGTCGGTCACGTCGAAAGCCATTTACGTCGTGACGGGGCACCACAGGGCACGTGCCATTACAAATAGCATCACATGGCTGGCAGGACCGTGATGTGCAATATGTGACGTGCCGTGCAGTTGGTCGACGGACGTGAGGCGCCCCTGCCAGCCAATGTTGCCAAATCTGACCCCCGGCACGGCCCCTCTCCCGGACCCCTCTGTCATCCGAGCGGGGGCACTGACGTCAGAACGTCACCTGCTGACGTCAGCAGACTGAGGAGAGCCACAATCGGCGTGGGTGGCGGAACTGTGCCGAGTCCGCCTGTAGTCGACACGCCGTCAACAGCCAATCATACTGCCGGTCGCCGACGAGCGATCAGTCAAGCGAGCATCGAGCACCGATGGGCGACCGCCTGATCATCCGGCGTTTCCGCCAGCTGTCTGATTCCCGGAGCCCATACAAGGCACTGCAAATACCTGCATATCGCTTTTATACGATCGTCAAAAGGCTATTCTATCAAGGCATCAGACTCGGTGCTCGTTACACGTAAATAACATCGGCGAAATCGTTACCACTGTGGATCCCGAGAAGGACAGCCATCACATCGGAGCTTACCGATCTAAAACAGAGCTCTGTTGTTCGAAGGGCAGAACCAAGAACCCTGTTCACCCGGGGGCACAAGGAACTGCATCCAGGGAAGTTACAAGGAACCACGCCCCCGCGAGGAAGCTCAGGTGTTCCACGCAGCTGAGCGCTGCGCGCTGGCGAGGCAGTCGGATAGATGGGACAATCGCATTATCGCGTTCGCGGTAGTGTTGATCGTGCAGTCATTTCTTGGAGCCGCCTCGCGTCGAGCACGGCACAGTAGAGGGAGGGGAGGAGAGGGGAGGGGACACCCCGCGGCTGGAACGAGCAGCGCGGGTCTGTCTGCGACTGGGTACCCTGTGGAGGAGCGGTTTAGACAAAGACCAGTGTCGCGCACACCATGTGTATTGTGCATTCCCACTCTGCGCGCGCACTTCTGGGACACTGGAGTGGTGAAAGCGGCACTCCGGCGCGGCGGTGCACGGTGTGCGCGAGGTGTGCTTTGTTCGGAGCTCGGCTGGGCTGGTTGGAGCCGTGGCGGCGCCTGCAGTGGGGTCTGGTCCTCCACACGCGTCCAGCGGCCCCAGCCGGAGGGTATCCAGGATCACGGGCGCATCCAGGACAAGGACTGACTAGTGATGTGCGCGTCGTATAGCAGCGCGAATCTAAAGCTAAGAAATGCTCTTCAACAGGTAATTGTTAAGCCTGTTTTAACGGCAGCTTATGTGATTCACAGCTTGACTAGTTATTTGGGTACCTTGCTATCTCCCCGCGCCCTCCACGGCTCTGAGGGTCGGCTCGGCCCTGGTCCCGCCGCTGCCAGCGGTGCAGCGGCCGCCGCGGCTCTGTCCGTCCTGCAGAGCGGCCACCATCGGCGGCACCCGCCCGAGGCGGTGGAGGAGCCGGAGCCGGACATGCCGACCGAGTCATCGCCTGAATCATGGCCTCGGCCGGGGCACGACGGCCACCCCTCCCCCTGCACAGCCGCCGGCCAGGCCTCCGTCCCAGCCGAGCAGATACTGTCTCCTCGCGACTGCAGAGCTCGCCGGCCGGTCCAGCCCAGGCTCTAGCCCGCCACAAAGGAGTCCGTCCTATAGCCCGGCGGCAACAGACAGGACCTTGAACCTCGGCAGCCGCGGCACGATGAAAGCTGAGCATAGCCACAAAACCGGCATGGTATGCCCCTGGTTCGGGTAACAGTGCGGGACTGAGTGCCAGTCCGAGCGCTGACAACACACCGACGTAAATAAACAGCGCTAAGGTGGTCGCCAGTCCTGCGCTCTGAATGGCCTGCCTTTCGTGCCTTGTGCAATAGGTGGCCGTGTAAACGCACCCAGTCGGCAAATATGTAACGGCTAGTCGGCAACAAGCTGCTGCCGTGCGCATTTTTTTAAATGAAACATCAGCATTTTATTCACCGGAGCTTAGACCCGTGGCAACGATAAACAAGACGGTTATTTGTTAGGGCACCCGGTAAAAACTTACAGCAGAATCGCAAGCCCAGCAGGAAAAGGCTTATGTAGCGCAAAACATGTTGGAGATTGGCCGAGGGCGATTGGCAACCAAGATTATCACTTAGGAACTCGAGGATTTCGGAACAGTCAACGGCTTAGCAGCGTTTTTATCATCTAAAAACCCAACGGATGTGATCATATAAACATTGAATAAAGCGCATCATCGATTACCAGGACATGAGTAGGACAAATCACATCGATAACTTTTGGGGGAGAAGATTAGAGAGTGGCCGGTACCAGAAGGGTAGAAAAACCATGATAGCGTGGACGATGGTGTCCAGTCTAGTGGACGGAGCTGATGAAGAGATAAGGTTAAAACACCCCCGGGCCCCGGCCGAAGGCAGAGACCACCCATTGAGAGGAAAACAGCTCAGGGTGGGGACAACTTCGGGCGGCTCAGAGACCTGGCTCAGCTTGTGATACTCAGTCCCCGCAAACATATAGGGGCACTTAGAGACGGCAAGAAAGACCATCGATGGGGTCCAAAGATATTGCGGTATCAGATGACCAAGCACAACGGCTCTGCGGGGAAAGGAAGGGAGGACGGATGATGAAACAGACCAACAGGGATGGACCGACAGGGGCGGGTAGGTCCCAGTCCCCGGCACCTCCCTGGGTAGTGGGTAAGCCCCAGTTCCCCGCATGACGCCCCGGTGATACCCCGCTTCCCGGCAGCTCGGGCCCCGCATACGATTGACGCGGCCCAGAGCCTCCGCGCCGAGGCGGGCGGAGGCACACGGGGCGAATAACAAGCCGCCGCGTCCGAGCGAGGGTGGAACCTTCTCGGCCTGCGAGGGGAGGACGCCGTATATTGATCGAGGTCGGCCGCCGGGGAAAACGAGCGACCGCCGAGCCGAGCCGGGCGACAGGTAGGCGGTGGCGGCGGCCCAGGCCCGGCGCAAACACAAAAACCGCCGCACAGTTACCGCATGGCCATTGAAAGTCAGGAAAGCTCATAACAGCCGGTTATCATGGCGCCTCGGCCGACCACAGAGGCGGAAAGTGGACTGCAGGCTCCAGGTAAAGACGCTGGACGTTCCAGCTCGGCCAGCGGCGGCCGCCAGATGGCAGTGGGCACGTGCAACAGGCCCGGCCGATCCGATCCGTATCGGCCGCTGTCCTGCAGGCCGGACCGGTCACGTATAATGCGGCCGGCCGTCGGCGGCGGCCAGACGGCAGCCGGACGCCGGCGGCGCCGCTCCATGGCACGCGGCCAGCCGGCGGCACACTCACCGTGAATGGAGCGCTGGCTGTCCTGGCGCACAAAGTCCGGGTCGTCCCTGTCGAACTGCACCAGGTCGTCGTCGTCGGCGGCCATCTGAAGGCGCCGCTGGCCGAGCCGCGCGACACGCTGCCGGCCCCAGCTCGGCATCGGTGGCCGCCCGTGCGCTGGTGTGTCACTCGCAGAGCTGGCACAGCCCACACGGCGGCCGGCGCGGCGCGCGACTGGCACCGCCCCGCCGGCCGGCCGGCGCTCTCCCCTCGGCGCGCCGCGCCCGCTCCCCAGTGACGAGGCGGCCCGCCGCCGGCCGCCGAGCCACCCGCATAAAAACGCCGCCCTCCGCGCGCGAGCGAGCGAGTCCGGCGCCTGGCTAGCCTTGCAGGCGGCCACTGAACCTGCCCGGTGCCGCCGGAGATACTGCCGGGGAGCAGAGACCTGCGACGGGTCCGAAGCGGCCGGCGCCGCGGTCCGACGGTCCACGGGTCGGGTCGGCCTGGTCCCGGAGGTCCCCACTGACCGGCGGTGACCCGCGGTGACCTCGGCAGCACTCCTCTGGCCCGGACAGGTCGCAGCGGCCGGCCGCCCGACCCGGTCCGCCCTGTCTCGCTCTCCGCCGTTTCTCCGCCGCTGCCGCCGCCGCTCAAGGCTGCCGCAGTGCGCACCGCGCATGCGCGGACCTCTGGCGGGCCTACCTGTTGCTTGGCTGGCATGCAGTCGAGCCTGTGTTGAGGGGAGGGGGTGGGAGGGGCGTGCCCCGCGGTCCCCGCACTGTCAGAAATGGGCGGGGTGTCTGCCCCACGGCGCCGCAACCGCCGGCTCCCGCAGCCCCCGCTTCCCTTCCTCGAACGAATAAACGCGTCATATGCTCACAGCCTCAGAGAAGCGAAATTTTCCTTGTTCAGCAGCGCCAAACTGGTAACTGGATCTCGAGGTGCTCCTGAACAGGCAGGCTTCAAATGGCCGTTTGTGTCAGCGAGCCAGTTGCAGTGACTGGCTTGTGGACAGATCACAGAGGCAAACTTTAGTCGGCTGCTCGATCATTAAAACGTAACGCTTTGGCGACATTCTTGCCTTTCTTGAGCAACATACATGCCAGGGTATTTTTAGCGTTGAGCATTCAATTAACCCACTATTCTGGTCTGACTTCTGGATGCCGTTTAGCTTTTTGTAACTGTATCCCTTTTCAAATGGTTATTTTTGCGGCATAGCTTAAGCGTGCCTACTTTCCTTGTTGAATTGCGAAGTTCATAACAGGCTCAAGTGACACGAACCAAGCCAGTCGATAGCACTTTCCGTAACCGAGTTAGGCCAGTCTCGGCCGTGTTCAAATTTTCACCTCTCTGCCCCGGCGGCTGCTGTGCCCAGTTCCGAGCGGAGTCTGCTCTGTCCCGGCTCCGGAGTCTCTGTCCCGGCCTGTGGAGCAATAACCTCTGGGCCGAGCCGGAGACCCGGTCGAGACGGCTGACAAATGTCAGAGGTGACTGGATATCTTCTGGTTATGCGGACGAGTTTCGGAATAAAAGAGCACTTGCGCTCCAAGTTCTAAAATAAGAGGCCAGGGAACGTCCTACGGCTCGTCATCGATTCGGAAGGTAGGCATTCATGTATATGACGGCGTTGCGAGTTGTGACGACTGCACGAGCTTGACCTTCGCGTTGACGCTCCAACAGCTGCATTAAATGTACCGACGCGTTCGCTAGCCGCCTTACAATGCTGACGCTGGTATAATCGAAATGCCGAGAAGCTTGCGGCTCGGTATGACACAATCATTGACTTGCATACACGTGCCTGCAGTACGCATATATTTGTCATGACCATATGTAACGCGACTCTCGTCTGATTTCAAGAGCAGTGAGACGCTGAGTGCCAACTAGATCCTGGATCTGCGGTCAGACACAGTGCCCTCCTCATGTTTTGAAGCGCTTTTAAACTACCCTGATGTGTAGGTCGGTGCATACCTGATGCTAAACAGCTTACGAGGAATTGTATAGACCATTCTGCCTGATGCAATTTTCAGGGAAGTTGAAAAGTCAGGTGCGAAATATTTTCCGCAAGCGATTTTACCATCGTTGTCATCCTGTTTCGGAATAAAAGGTACCGCGTCAAGGCTCCATTGATTAAGGTTGAACTCCGACTTGAGCCGAGGGCCTAACAGTAACAGCACCACCAAACCGTCCCAGCATTGGTGACACTCCATCTCCACTTCACTCATTACACTCACCGGTGACGGGATATTACCACGTCATCCGCCCCTGCCGTCATCGATCACCACGTCATCACAAACGCGTCATCGATCGCGTTGGCTTTGCGTCATCGATTGGCGTGCCTGGGTTCGGCCGAGCGGTAAGAACGGTTCAGGGTACAGGTATTGTTTTACTGTTCAGGCTGTGCTTTCGACAGGTAAGGGGAGCCCGCTATGGTATATGTATGTAGTTCAGACTTCAGACCCGAGAACACAGTACTGGCGTCATGTCTGTGCTGTCAAACATGGTGGTGAGCTGGTCAACGTCACCCATGAGGTCACGTGCGGGGAACAAGTGGCCTCATGGTGTGTGAACCAGTGACGTACGAGCGTAGAGTATGTAAGTACCAGGCGTGTAACTGACGTCCTCAGTTACTGGTACTGAGAGGCGGTATATCTGATTCTACGGAATGGGAGGTCAGCATGACGTCAATAGACGAACGATAAAGTAATATGAGCTGGTATGGGCCAATTGTGTTGAATGGTTTTGCTTTTCCGTAAGAACAGCTATGTTTTGTGCCTATCGGCCATGAATGAGCTGGCAGAAATAAGGTAAAACGTAGTGGTCTGATAAGGGTTTACCTTGGGCATTTATGTATTTGAATGCATTGCTGACTGCTGTCACATGTACAATTTTAAGTCAATACCATTCGCCTAAAACTCAGCACAAGTTAGCAATATTCCACGAGAAACGCTTTAGTGCAACCATATTTATTTCTTTATGATCTAGTTGGTTTTATGTCAGTCAACTTTATTTTTATCTCACAAGTCTAGCAACTTCTGTAATAAATTTAATGTGTAGCAAATTCAATCGATAAGCTTTTACCGAGCTCCCGGGGACGCTGATCGCTGATCAATCTCAGAGGGGGGACGGTGAGGGGGTGTGCGTGGGCCGTGGAGCGAGTCATGCGTGCCGTCATAAGTGACTCACGTTAGTGGCAAAGGCAAACACCGATGACTCAGGGGCTAGGACGGGGCGTGTGCCTGATGTAGAAACCCAGCCGGGGCAACACCCGTCGGAAAACGCGCCTATTATCGCCACCCCTTGCCGTTTTGTTCTCGCTCGCATTGATTTGTTGAGGAAGGTTTCCTATATTGAATATTTAAAACAGAATCGTACGTATAATACGTTACTGCTCAACCTGCTGGAACCGAAACAGTTGGAATTATTTCCTGATACAAAGGCGAGACTTAAACATATCATGAGAATGGAGGGAAGATCTGCATTTGCATATCACTTTTACTCGATAATACGAAAAGTTTCTGGAAAAACCGCATACTCCGAGACAGCCACCATAGATTATGCTAGGTATAACAAAACGAAAAAGTAATAAAAAGTAAACTTCAGGAAAGAGCAAAAAATCCATCGAGGGATGGCTGGCAAGTTTATTGCCGTGTGGGCAAGGTTCAAACTTCAAAGGTCAAAACAAGTAACCCCAAGTTTCTTATCTGAAAGCGAGCTACATGGCTCCGTGCCGGGAGATCCGGAGGGCTTTGAACGCGCACATCTGCAGCAAAACTTCTGTACAACTCCTAGCTAGGGCTAGAGCTTGTGGCTAGTTTCTGATTCAACACGGCAATCGATGTAGATGAGCGCATTTCATTCATAGGGATGGGTGGGCGCACTGCTTTCATCTCAGAGTCTCGAAGTCATGACATTGAGCCGGGGCTTCGTGTGTAGGTCCTGCGCTCTCGGCACGTATGTAAATACACGTCTGTTTGGTATCAGGGAAACTATATATTTGAATTTTCGTATCAATAGCCTTCAATGCTCTGAATAACGGGACGTAGTGTATTTACATTCGTTGGTATACAGTATACACTGATACGTCGGAATGGGACGGATAAGAACTTTCAAAGGGAAGATAAATGATGTGATATCGAGGCATCTCATGCTGACTATGCTCGAATATGGCATCACTGATCGCACCACCATGAATACCATGAATAATGGGTTCCGATATGCCACTTTCAGGAATGGGCCATTTATACAATCTAGCATACGAGGCTGATTCAGATTCAGATATATTCGAATAAGGTCAGCAATAAACGTGACTTTTCACTCATTCACGTCATATGTAGAACAGAAAGGGAAGCTGGAACACAAGTCACTACGGCCACTCTCATTCGTTCACATACGCATGCACGTGCGCGCGCGCGCGATCGCGTACACCAAAACGCTGAAGCTCACAACGTCATAGCAAATCGCTTCGCTTCAGCCCAAAAAGATGCCAGATGGAATGCTGGGCTCGATGCACGAGTTATTAATCAGTGACATTCCGCGATAACAGAGTGTGCCTTTACTTTTTCGATAGCTCCGGGCCCCGGATGTCCAACTTCTCGCCACGCTCATCTCGCAGGTCCAATGCCATTTGTTAACACCTACAATGTTATATAAAACGAATTTATTTGCTTTGCAGAGACAACTTCATCCTGCCTCCTTGCCTGCATGCACTTACTGTACAATCAATGCCTGCATCCAGCTGTGATCCAGCATCACCCAGTTTTATCCGGCATTGGCTTTTGATGAGGAAGCGCCTCGTTTCTTCTGTCGGAGATGGATGTAGGTATGCATATTGCATTACTTGCGTACGCTGGAGCGGGACGAGTGCCGAGTGGTGAGCCATTTCTGTATACCGCTTCTGGTCAACAGAAACTCTAATGACCAATAACCAGCAATATACCAACTGTGAGTACTGGGTAGTGCCCAACATTTCTGGATATCTTATATCGTTCATTATTAACATGCGCAGCTATGTAGCTAATTCAAGATAGTTGGCTATTCACACATAAATGTCTTGTGGAAAGGACGACACAAGGACCGATCTACGTCAATAAACTACCTAAATGCAGCAAAAAACACAAACAATTTTGGTGTAAAATATAATTAAAGCTTTGACGTTCTTAAAAGATAACTTTTGAACAATGATGTAGGTAAGGCAAAATTTCACACACAGGCCCCTTTTACCTACCTTTTCGCTGCAGCCCTTCCAAAAAGCGAGTTTTACAAAGAAAGGCAATGCAGTATTTATTCCGTTGGCAAATCTCCGGTATAACTACATGGACTGGAACTGCCCCAACCATTTCGTCCCTGCCCCTGCCTGCAGTCCGCCTGTCCGCCTGGCAACAGCTCCTGTCGCTCACGCACCAGTGGGGAGGGGGAGGGGGAGGGGCGCCTCCCACCAGGCACCGCCGGGCCGTCGTCTATTTCAGCCCACACGCACCTGCGCACGGCCTACTTCCAGGCGGCCACAGGCGGCTCCTGACACGCACTACGCACATCGGGGCTGCGGTGGGGAGGGGCGATGACGGAAGGGGGGAGGGGAAGCTCCGAGCTCGGCGTCTGTAGCCGGTTGCGTCGGCTT